TGAACACCGTGTTAAACCAGAGCTTTGGGAGAAATAGCTGATTCCAGGTCTGGGCAGAAACTGTACAAAATGAGCATGGAACGTCCTGTCATTACAGAAAGCAAGCAAGCTGTCAAAGACTACCAGAGTTATAGCAGAAGAACATGCTGGCTAGGTTTAAATCCATAAATTAAAAACACTATTTTTTATAAAAATAAAACTCTTATTGGTCACTTTTGGAGGATGCTAGGGAACAAATTCATTATTTGGAAAAGGGATAAGTAGTAGTTACTGAAGCATTTATCCTGCCTTTCTATATAAGAACTTTAAGTTAGGGGCACCTGGGTGACTCAGTCTGCTAAGCATCCAACTCCAGAGATTACTTAAAAATAAGAAAAAAATCTTTAAAAAGAAAAAAAAAAGCAGGGAGAGACAAATGTTACATGTATCCTCATGGAAATACTCAATACCGCTGTGAAGTGTTCTTCCAAAACAATCCTACGTAAGGGTGATATAGCTTCCAGATCTAACTACCAATTTATAGGAATTACAGGAGACAGAGCAACAAGTTAAATGACACCTCAGGGGCAATCAGCAAATTCCAAACTGTGGAAACCTCTCTAGAACATGTGACTCAGTTTCTTTAAAAATAGCACTAGTGGAAGGGAAAGTATACCTAGAAGAAAGTTAAGAGACATATAAACCAATTGTAACGTCTCCTCCTTCAAACAAAGCAAATGTAAAAAAAAAAAAAATGCTGAGACAATTTGAACATTGGATATTTAATATTAATAAATCACTTTAGTATTATGATAGAATTATAATTTTATTATAAAAGGGTCCTTATCTTTTAGAGATACTGAAATTTGGGTATAAAGTAATATGATATATTGGGTTTCCTTGAAAATAATTCAGGGTGAGGAGTAAGTGGGCAAGGTTATAGATCAGGCAGTGGCAAACTATGGCCCAGAGGCCAAATCCAGCCCACCACCTGTTTCTGAAAATGAAGTTTATTAGAACACAGTCATGCTCATTTATTTATGTGTGGTCTATGGCTGCTTTCCTGCAACAATGGCAGAGTTGGGTAGTTGCGATAGAAACAGTATGGCCCACGATGCCTCAAATGTTTGCTATCTTGCCCTATGCAGAAAAGCTTCTGATACCTGGTATAGCTAAATCAAAATTGGCTCTCAGTGGATTATTAGTGAAGCTGGATGATGCTTACATGGCAGTTATAGATTATATTCTGGGACATGTAATGCTTTAAAATCTAAACCAACAACTAATACATACAGCTTTAGGAAAAGCCCGATGCAGACCCAATCCCAGGACCCTGGGATCATGACCTGAGCCCGACGCAGACACTTAACCGACTGAGCCACCCAGGTGTCCCTGGATGTTTCGATGTAGTGGACTAAGGCAGGCCAAGGCCTTGCTAAGCTCTGAGGTAGTTCTCAAGGTGGACAGCCACGCCACTTTTGAACAGTCTCTGGGAGTGTCTTTAGAGGCAGAGTGTTGGGTAGGATGCACCTTGGGGTGGAAAGAGGATGCCATACTTCCCCTCTGATCCTCTGTCTTGTTTCTCAAATTCCTCATATCAGTGAGATCATATGATAATTATCTTTCTCTGATTGATTTATTTCGTTTAGCATAATACCTTCTAGTTCCATCCACGTCATTGCAAATGGCAAGATTTCGGTTTTTTGGTGGCTGCATAATATTCCATTGTGTATGTATGTATATACATATATATATATATATATGTATATACTACATCTTCTTTATCCACTCATCTGTTGATGGGCATCTGGACCCTTTCCATAGTTTGGCTATTGTGGACATTGCTGCTATAAACATTGGGGTGCACATACCCCTTCAGATCCCTACATTTGTATCTTTGGGGTAAATACCCAGTAATGCAATTGCAGGGTCGTAGGGTAGCTTTATTTTCAACTTTTTGAGGAACCTCCATACTGCTTTCCAGAGTGGCTGCACCAGCTTGCATTCCCACCAACAGTGTAGGAGGGTTCCCCTTTCTCCGCATCGAGGTAAGTATTATTATCCTCATTTTACACATGGAAACCCTGGTCCTTAGAGGGGAAGTGACTTAAACCCATACTCTGCCATAGTGCAAGCTGCTCTCCTAAACGTCGTTGGTAGTTTAAACACTGAAACGAACATTTTTCTTTTGTTTGCACCATGGGGACACATTTATAAAGAAGCTCCAGATGCATGTCACTGCACTGGGTTTCCTCTCATCTCTCAGGAGTTGGATCTCATCTCTGATGAGTACCTTTAGCAGGAATGAGACATTTTTGTTTGGGCCAAGTTTAAAGGATTATGTGAAGAGAAGTATTTGGCCTGCCTCATTCATGAATTTTGTAATCACAGAGGAAGTTGGTATCTATCATTTTTTTATTATTTTGTAGTCTTTTAAGAAAAATTTTTTAAGTAACCTCTACACCCAACATGGGGCTCAAACTCATGACCCTGAGATCAAGAGTCACATGCTCTACAGACTGAGCCAGCCAGAAGCCCCTGATCTATCATTTTAAAGAAACATTGGAACTTGGCTCTGCATATAAATGTAAAGGATGGCAAATTAAAATGTCTTTTTGGGGCGCCTGGGTGGCTCAGTTGGTTAAGTCCCACATCGGGCTCCCTGCTCAGCGAGGAGCCTGCTTCTCCCTCTGACCCTCCCCACTCTCATGTACTCTCTCTCATTCTCGCTCTCTCAAATAAATAAATAAAT